TATGTTAACATTTTAGTTAAGAGACGTTTAATTTATTAAAACATAATAAATAGATATGTATAATATAAATTGTTACCTACATAATGTTCTAACATTACTGTTTATGTTTATGGTGGTTTGAAACAAAACTATTTGAAACTTAGAAGTGTAGGTATGTTTGGCAAATCTTATTTTATTAAATTTAGTTTTAAAATATTCTACCATTTTATAGTATTCCTATTTAAAAAAGTAAAATAAGTAATCCTTTTAAAAGGTAAAATATATTACTTTAATATTTTCATGACTTTCTGTTCTGATTCTAATTAATACCAACAATGAATGCTGATTGCGTTTATTATGTAAATGTTGTATTTATTCACAACGCAACAATTCTAAAAGGAACATGAAATAAAATTAGTGATACAAATGTTAGTATCATGTAAAGTAGCTCTCCATAACGTACTAGTTGGTAATTTTTATGTTTGTTAGTTCATTATTGTGTTTATTCTCAAAAACTACTTATCAGTTTTTTTTGACTTTAATGTAACGGACATTAGCCTAGTTTTGAATAAAGCTAAATTTCAAGTAAAAACCCAAAACATTTTTAAGTGATATCTAATATTATCAAATCTCTGACAGTATCGCTTGCAACATAGATAAGGAGTAGTTAGTTGAACTTATCTAATTACGTAGAACCTACAGGAGTCTGATCTGAAAATATTATTTTATTTATATTGTGCTTTTATTTATAACAATTAAATTTGTATAAATTCAAAAAGAGTTATTTAAATACGTTTTTTTGCTTAACATTAGCTCAATAAAAAACATCACAGAAAAAGTTACACCTTTTTTAAGGAAATGTTAAATAATTAAATATACATAGCAATATATGCCTTATTTTAACTCAGTTAATGGCCAAAGTCTTAAAGATTTAAAAACGAAGTTGTTTCCATTGAAAATTCTTTTTCTATAATCTTGTTTACTTTCTCTAAAAAAATCTTGAAAATGGTCGATTAACACTACCTACTTCCTTTCAAGAGCTAGTAGAAGTATTAAGCACAAATAAATATTTTACAAAGAAAATGTTCTAAAAAAGATAGGTAATATTTCACGTCAAATTAAACTTCTTATATAACTTTTTTTTTCTTAAGTTAAAAGCAAAGAATCAAGATCCTGTTGATATTTATCCGTCGATAATAACTAACGATATATACCTAATTGAGATTAAAAAAACTGGCAGACTTAAGCTTTTTTATTCCGAGCTCCGTCAGCGTCGGCGAGTGAGATCCATTTCGTTACTTTTTCATAACAATACCTAATTTAGTAGCTTAATTACTACCCGGAACATGCTTTTCATCACATTTTAAATATTCACTCACTTATGTTTTATTAAACAACAACTCTTTACATATTTGTGTGCGTTGCTATTTTCATATTTTTCTCTTTTAGTGATTACTTTTTGTTTCTGTTTTATATTCCTGTTCCAGTAAAAAATTAAGTACTGTAATATAAAACATCAAAGAGAAGGATTAAATAAAAATATTTACCTAAAATCGACCGAAATATCATATTAATCTGGTAATTCAAGATTTTAATTTAGCTTCATGTTGAAATTATTCAAAGCGTAGTCTAATTTTAAATATTTGAAAACAAATAAAAGATTAAGTATATAATTAAAATAGACGGTGAATTAGAATTTTCATTACTTTATTGGGGAATGGTTACATATGTATATGAATTATTTCTATTAAAGAGAATAACCATTCTTTATCTTTTGTTTATTATCAATTTGAAAGTGAAATAAGAAGGGTGATTTTTTTTATTACATCAAATTAATTAATAATTTAAAATACAAAGGTTTCACAAGTCGTTTATCTTATGTAGTTAAACGTGAAGTAAAAACTTTCCACCCCTTTTTATGAAAATTACGCGGACGGACGAGTATAAAATTTGACACAGTTAAAGATTGTGAACAGAAGAAATGTAGAAATATATTATTTTCAAAAAAAAATCAGACTTGTTCTACTGTTTCAGACACGAACTCATTACACATACGTCAACGTCGGCAGGTTTGTCTATAAATTTACTGAATATCAAACATAATTATGAGTCATGGCTGGCGTATTCTATTTGTCTTATATGTTTGTATTTGTATTTATAGAATACACATATTATATATTTGTGTAGTTATAGTGAAATGCAATGAGATAATATAATATATAATGTAGATGTATATAAACAGAGATTTTTTTTATCATCTTTGAACTTAACAAATTATAAAATATGAATTTTACCAAAATAATAAGTGTGACAAAATATCTACTTAGTTTGGAAAAATTATCAACCATTTATAAAACTTTTGTATCAAAACAACTTGCAGCAATTCTAAAAACAACTTCCACAGCTCGCAGAACTTTTGTCTATTTTTATTCATTCTTAAGATAGAAGTTTTAATTAAGTATTTTTTTGTGGGATGAGCTTTCTAAATATATTAAGACAAATCTAGATAAATAACTTTAAAAACAATGAAAAGACGATAAAAGTTCTCAAGTGCTTAGCAACAGTTTAAAAAGGGTCAGTTTGGGAACAAGGATCAGAATAAAAAATACTTCCCAAATCAAGCCTCTTGTGAGTGAATAGCTACCATTTCTTCCCTTGGGATCGACCCGCAAAGTTAGGATATACGTGAGCTCTTAGACTACAAGACTTATGAATCGTGTATTGAAAACTAAAGTTGTGAAGTTGATTCTTACGAATGCACTGTTACGGTTCGTTTACCTTTGTATTTTGGGCAACTGATTGTGCACTAATGCTGGCTTTTATAACGTTAAAACTTTTACATATATATACTTAAGCATGCATGTATACATGTGTAAATATTCTAGTTTTATATATTTACTTGTTTGCTTATTTAAGTATATATCTTTTTTTCCTGTTAATGCGTACCTCACCCTAATTTTTCCACTTGTATCCTTTACCGAAAGGGTTTCTGACAGAGATTTCGCTTAAGAGATATGTTATTCTTGGTGCGTCACATTTTTTAAAATACATTAATATAATTACAATTTATATTTGTAAATACATAAATATTTTTTACATTGTATTTTTATTTTTTAACCGAATTTATTAATTAAGATAAATTCTAGAAATAAACTCTAGATGAAAAAGACTAATTTGATAACATTACAAATAAATGTAGTGTCATGAACAATGCATACAGAAATAAAGGAATTAAAGTATAGAGAATTCGATTTCCAAAAGAATTGGTTGGAGTTAAAAGGTCCATGGAAATTCCAATGAGTTTGTAAATATTTATGGTTGGTAAATCAAATCAAAGGGCAAATGGGTTTCGCTTGTATGTTCGACCTGCCATTTCCGAACCGACTGAACTTAAGTTCATTTCGAATACATTTAATATAATATGTAATGTTTTTCAGCGCTTTTAAATAAACTAATTATCTTGTAAATTACTTGATCTACTACCAGCGCGTTAACGAAGCTGAGTGTAAATAAACGTAAAATATTTAACCATATCAAATTTGTTGCATCTATGTAAATAAAGTTTTTTAAACGCGATATTTCATAAATATTATTCATAATTCTCTTATTGCAATTCTAGGATTAACAAATATTTACGTAGTTGCAACAGATTCATAACTCGTAGCTTATAGCCGTTACAAGCCTGCCTGTATTAGTTCATTTCTTGAAACAGTATAAATATTGAATAGCGCAGAGCAAACTAATGCCGTCGCTTAATTTGCTCTACTGCATAATCTTACTGCAAGACGTCCTCTAATGAGAGGATCTCAGGAACTCCTTTATGATCGGCGCCGCTTACTTATTATTTAATACATGACTTCAATTCCAATTACTTAATACTATTATTTCATTAAACTAATTTATTTTGTTATTAAAATATCATCTTTTATTACTACATATTTTGATGATAATAATTATTTAAATTTTAATGTTAGGAGTGACAATTTATATATAGATAATCTTACTGGAAACTTTGACGTGACTTTTTATTGAATAGTTTTCTTTCGTTTTCAATATATCTGATGATATTTGCTAATAATTATTATGCTAAGTATATCTTGTAAGCTTTTAATCGATTTTAATTATAATTCTAGTATGATCAAACATCCGTGTGATCTATACTAGTGCTAAATATTAATCAGTGCTGTATTTCAATCAATCTCTCATAAGACGACATCTGTTCCTATTGTACTTGTTCTATTGTTGCTATTCGTAACACGAGTGCGTGTGACGTGTTCATGTTCTCATTATATTAAACCATATCTCTATAAAATTAAAGTTTAAATCTCTATGACTGACTGATTTTTATCACAATATTTTAAACAAAATAATATTAATTACCCTTAAGCGGTATAAAGTATTAGTTTTTATTTCTATAAACGTATGAGGAGTACAATAAAGTTTTATGAGAAATATTAATATATTTATTAGAAATCATATTATTCTATAGAAAAGAAATGTTTTTTACATTTTAAGAATTTCTGCATTTCCATAGTAAGCTATATTTTAAGATGTATTTAATCCGATTGAATTATAAAATGATCATTTATTACATTTAAATTTTAATGTAATATATAAATTATTACCTCTATGTATCGCTTATTTATTATTTATATATAAATAAAGAAAATTATAGTGGTTTTTAACGCTCTTCAGATTTCAATTATTTTGAATGAAATCGGTTAAAATATATTTAATATGTAGGTGGATATAAAAAACATCGCTAAAATATTTATTTTATATTTGAATTTTTTAGTTTAAACGTAATGAAAAAATATATAATTGAATGTTACTGATTTTATTTCATGAGTAAAAATAATATATTGAAATTATTTTATAAAATAAAATTATTATTCTCATCCAATAATATACGACGGTCAATATATATTCTTATTCAGTATAAGTTAGTAAGTAACGTACCTGTATGTTAAACACATTCCAATAATCCATGTAGTGAGAACCATGTAACATCAACGAACTAATCACGTAAAGTTTGAAACTTTGCCGATGAGGTGTTGAATACGGAGGGACACGTCCGCAGCCGCTGACGACCGGGAGGCTACTGAGGCTGCCCTTATCCTAACAACGTGAAACGCACCCTCAAAAGGGTTCAGTTCGTTACATAGTAAGATCGAAATTTGATCGCAGTTAGAACGGGCGCGTACTAAGACAGGTCGTTGGCTATTTAGCCTGGAATATATAGGAGGCGCATGCGCCGCGGCTTCCAACTTGCAACCTGCATTACTTAGCTTTTGGATGCTTTCGTATAATTTGGTGTCATTCATGCTCGTGCTCTTTATACCGTTCTCATGTCTTGTCTAGATTTTTACTCGTGCTGTTTTAAGAGACATGTACTATGAAAATTTTAAAACTTTTTTTGTTAATGTATTCATATATCAAGTCTTTCTCAGATTTACTTTTTATAATAATAAATAATTATATGCTTTTTGCTTGCACTTTTTCTTTCTTTATGTCGTAAGATACAAATTTTATAACGATTTTACGCTTACGGTTAGCTTAAAAAATATAAAATTTTGTTAGAAGATAGCTTTTTAATAAATATAAGGGAACTGTAGTTACGACGCTACGGAATACATTGCTACGTAAAGTGAGACCGTAACTGTCATTTTGTATGAATTAGAGTTGGAATCTTTAAGCTAATTTTATTTAAATGAATAATTAAAATTTTAGTATTAACGATAAATAAAATAAGGTTTTGGATGAGATTAGAACTGATATTGGCTTTATTTAACTGTATGGCTATCTTCAAGGTTCTAAATTATTGAAGAATGAATTTATTTATTAAAAAAGTGAGAGTTAAGCATCTTTATTCTGATATTAAAATAAAATGGTAAGATAATTGTACTAAATATGGACTATAAATTTTATTTAGGTAAAAAACTTAATAGGTTAGTGATATGGTTACTCTTAATTATTACCAAACATTTACATCGTGCCTTTCCTCATAAAATGTCATTTCTAATTCTTAACCAACAAACGCATTAACTTTTCACTTTGGGAGATTATTTATTAAATGTATACTACAACGTGTATTAAGATTTTATAATTCATTTTCCTATTATTGGAAATATGTATTAACTAATTTTAAAAACTATAAATTTAAAATGTAGGTACATCATATGTTATATATTGTACACAATCCCCCAACTAATTTCCATATAATATATATATATACACATATATTCACTATTTACAATCTGTCCGTCCGTTATCGCCAATAACGTAATTACTTTACATTGTTCTATGTTAATGACTTTCTCTCTCACGGCAATACATTCACGCTGTGCACGAGAGTCCACACCATTATCTAAATCTTATTATTTTATTTAATTACATGAAATTTTATTCCGTTAATACTATGTTACATTCAAAGCTGCCTCCAAATTAAATACATCAAATATTTTAGTTATAGTTCTAACAGAAAGAGTGGAATGTCATGTACATGAAAACGAGTAGGATTCAAACCTGCGATCTCTGAAATATCTTTTAATTATCCTTAAATATTAAAAACATTTTAATGATTTAAAAATATTACCGTTGAAAATAACCGTTTAAATTCGTTAAAATAATAAGTCAATAAATCTACAACTATTTATTTTGTAAGCAGATTTAAATCAATTATGTGTTTATTTGATTAAGACTATTTTGATTAAAATCAACTATATTGCGAAATTGAAATTTATTCCGAAACTTATTAGAGATATAATTGATAAATTTCCTTAAGCAATTTTCGTCACTTTATAATAGTTATCTAAGCTTATGTAGAAAATGACTAGAGTTTTTATACATATGAAAACAGTGTCTCAATGCAAGTGAAGAAACTAGTTATAGTGAATGATGATCTAAACACATGGAAAGACGAAATAGGTCGACTTGATTTTCCAATATGTTAATAACTTTAAACGTGGCTATTAGCGTTAAAATTTGCAGGCAAATACTGACATTTGGGTTAAAACAGGTATTTAAATAAATATAATGATTTTATTTTTAGTCATTATCCATAGACGTCCTGTTGTCAGAATCTATTAATACATGAAACGAAAACTTTGGATCCCTGTTTAATAATACACCGCCTACAGATATTGTGAGGTTTTTCATAATTAAAATTTATCTGTAGAAGAGAAATAGATGTATAAAATGACTATTTGCTCTCATTGATAAGTATGCGAAGTAAAATTAATATTGCAATATGATTTAGTTTTAGTTTCTTTATATAAAGTCTAAAGAACATTTAATATGTAATGATACTTGAAAGCAACTTAATATTAAATCAATATTTCGATTTAGTTGTAGGATTTATTCTACACAGTACAAGCCTTTTCGATACATAAATAACACTAATATTAATATTATACATATATAACTGTAAAAGTAATTTTATAAAACAATTTACTATAGATATGATTGCTTTAACATTATGAATTAATATTTTAAAACATATTACATCTAAAATGTTTCAATTAGTCCTTTTGTACAACAAAAACGAACAAAAATAACTTCAAATATAATGAGTCAATTATTGAATTCCCTGATTATTATCGGAAATTTCAACTGGTCATTACGAATTTAATTATGAGTTGCAATTATTACGAGTGAAATCTGAGCGAACAATAGAATATATAGTGACGTGATGTGGATTCATAATTGCGATTTAGTGTCAGAAGTTAGAAATTAATCATTAATCACACTTAGTGTCGTTCATTTTTAGTTGTTAATTAAACGATTTAATGGATCTAGGTCAACTGTGTGATTTATGTTTTAAATATATATTTGTGGTTCATATAACACAATGAAAGAAGATATGTACAGTATACAGGAAGAAAAGTATGACTTATCAGAGACTTCAGTAAAACAGATAAGCGGTGATATCTATTAATTAAAGGAAATATTTCAAAGTTCAGAATCTATCAGACCTGTACTATCCGCCCCTTCCTCTCTTACAAACGAGCTGATAATCTCCAAATGGCTGAACTAAGTTCAAACTTGAGATTCAATTACCTTCAGAAAAAGCTTAGTCAAAATTGATTCATTTTGATGTTTTGAAATCACAGATATTAAAAAAATTTACCCGTATAAGTAAAAAACTAATAATTAAGAATATCTATTTTTGTTTCTACACCATAATTTGATAAAAAGTAGCTTTAACATTATCATTTTTGGTGTATGTCCGTCTATTACAAGTTTTTCCTGGAAGGGCGTAGATACTTACGATTATATTAAATACTTCACTCAACTTAACTCTCAGTCAATAGAAAAATTATATTTTAAACTTAACCTATTTGATTAAAGTTTCCTCAACCTAAGTTCTATAATATACATGGATAATAATTTCCAACGAAAATGGCAATTTTTTCCGTTTTTAAAATGTATTGAGATTACTTTAAACAATTAAATCACCTCATAGTTTTTTTATGCGTAAACCAATAATAAACAATCCAACTTGTCAATATTTCCAATTAAATAATATTTGATAAAATAGCAGTTTCAATTGTTTCAATTTTTATTCAATTTCCCATTTTAATAATTTAAAAGGTAACATTAATTTATTTCAGACTTTCTATTTTAGGCACCAAACAATTAAAATAATAACACGTTAGAATAGTTGCATCATTTTATTTCATGGTTGTAATAGATTGTAGATGTATTGCAGTAATCTATTTACTAGCTAGGAGCTGATAAGTAAGCTTCAGTGCACATCAATTGACGAGACCATTTCAATAGTGCTTCCATAACCCTTTCATGGGGTCTAAGCATTGAAAGGTGATCCTATATAAAGATATTTAGAGGAAAATGACTTAGCTTTAGACACTTTTACATTGAATTTGTTAACTGTGAGCAACCTGAATAGATTGAAAGAAGATAACCTGAACGTATCTTAATATTGACTAGTATTTGCTGAGAACAACAAGTAAGGTTGTAGTCAAAGAGTTCATTAAAATTAGATTTTCAAGACTGCCAGATACTACCTCAATAAAAACAAATTTAAACAAAAAGCAACATAAAGTTGGCCGGAGAGTGAACTCTGTAAACCCTTCCAACGTTGTGACGGGAGAAATTCATGGAATTTCTGCAAAACTACATTTGAACCTAAACCTTATTCCTGTTTAAAGAGGACATAATATCTATTGTGTTCCCAGTTCCAAACATTTCACACATTTGTATATGGCAAAAAATAAACAATGCTTACTTTACATCGTATGTCTAATACAATAAGGTTTATTTTTGTGTGGCAAATAGACTCTGTTTCCCTTTGGCGGATTGCGGAGTTCTTGCTCCGTACACTTTTGTTTCGCTGATAGCGGATAAATATTATTCGAAACTAGTTTCGGCCGGTTGATTTCAGTTTCAAGCGGTGGATTTTGATTAAAAGTCAGCTTCAGCAACAACTCGTATTCTCTAACATAAAATATGGTTTTTAGCTAAACTTGCCTCAACTTGTAAATTAGAATTCCCTTTGTGGCGTCAATCGTTGCGTTTTAAAATGTAAATTAGTTTTTAGTAACAAACTACTTTTTAACATCTAAAGTGAGGGCAGTATCAACACATTTTATGACTGTTACTATTTTAACCATTTCATTTTTCAAGCTATTTGTCTAATATGATCAACTATAAAATGTCTATAATAATAAATTTTAATCTTACAACAAGAAATCATAAATCATGTATATTAGTAATTAAGCTTCTTTAACGATGCGTGGAGTAATTAAGGTTCAATCGTTCCAGGCGCGGAATTGCCGCGTTCATAATCATGTCGCATTACTGCAACTTGTGTCCGCAACGCGAATCTCGAGGGGTTTTCATAATATAAAGTACCGTTATCTCCAGTCCTCAAATATTAAATAGCTTTTTAATTTTTGTATAATGGAATTACTTTGTGAACTGTATAGTCAACACTGCTAATAACATCTCATTTATAACACACTCACATTAGTGGAAGATATTATACTATAAAATATTGATAATAATGAAGACAGTTTTACCGTCTAATAAATATTCATATATGGATATAAAACAAATATAACCTTTATATTATTATAAAGGTTCTCCTTTTGCGTTTTGATATATAAAGTTTGAACACAAACATGACCGAACCATCGAGTGTTCAATAAAAACGCACCGTTTTCATATAAAATAGTTTTGCAGAGCTATGAAACAATAGCGAGGCAAAATGAATTATTTTATCACCAACCATAGGGTTAGGACACATCAATGGAACAAATAATTACGGTACAAAACTAACGATGATGTTTACGCTGTTTGATAT